CTCCTGTTTTTCTAGCCATGAGCAATGCACTTTTGGAAGTTTGTGATGAGTGGACATCATTTTTGGAGTGGTATACTGTGTTGTTGTATGACAGAGCGTAACAAAAATGTCAATGAAGCCCTTAAGCAGTTTTACTCGCAAAGGACAACAGTTTGACGCTTTCCCATCAACACGAGCAGCAATGGTCCAATATGTCAACTGTACAATCTAACAGGCTGGTACGCATAGGTACAGGAGCTTGCGCAAATCCCTTTCCTTCCACGTCTGCAAGACTAAAGATAGATCTTAGATGGAAACAAATATTGGCCCTTGAGGACAACATTACCAGAAATGATGAAGTCATGTCAGCATTTGGTCAAGTGTGGTGGCAAAAGTGTTTGTCATGGACGTTGTGATTGCTACAAGGTCAATTTGAGTTGTACAGCTCTTTCCAAGTGTCTTGAGGATTGCGACAACAGATTATTTAATAAGGATTTGTCCATCATTCGGTAACAATTTCATGCTTTACTTTTTAAACAGGTTTTTAACCAAGTGCTGAATACGTGCCTCTCTGTATACGTTGCTCAGATATACTCAGACATGAGCACTCAGATATACTCATACACGGGCACCATCAAAATATAGTGTTCCTATTGGAGCACGTTCCTGAACACCATGCCCGGGCACTCAGTATCTGAACACATTATAATAAGCTTCACAAACGAAATAAAACAAATTTTGTATATTTGATGATTACTGATAAAATTCTTAAAATCAGCTTTGCTATATTGGGAACAACAATCTTATTCTGCAACCTTCTTTTGCCGCACCCCCACCGCACTTTTCAAATTTCTCCGCGGTCTGGAGAGTTATGTTACAAAGAACATTTTCAAGATTCAAATGTTAAGGATTAATGTTTTATAAGAAATACGGAAAACGTTTTTGTCATATTTAGTCATGTTCTTTATGACATGAAATAACTCCGCAATAAACTGATTCTAGTTACCTCATAATTAATTTTAATTGCGTGTAAGAAAAGAGTTTTAGACAGAAACCGAACGTCGTATATTATGAACTTTTGTCCAATGATTCTAGTCAGTACCTGTTTTGTGATTACTAGAATTATTTGATTGCAATGGTTAATCTGAGCGATACTTTTTAAGAACAATTTGCTTTTTTTGATATTTGCCGAAATTCCCTAGAATAATTTTGACCAATATTTTGACTGTCAGTTCAAGGTGGCTGCCATTTTAAGAACATCCCCGAAAAAGCACTAAGAACGCAATTTTTTTTATAGTACTATATCAAAATTTTGATCATTATCACAAGAACTATCTTCATACAATTTTTAGTGATTTTAACTGAAAACGAACATATTTTGCACATATCTGCTGCACTATGTTTGAAAATTTACATTTTATATACACAATAAGTATATACATAATAAACAGGCGTGGTAATTTTTTGTGTTTTGTTTGACAAACTATTTAGTAGTTGACACTGTTTAAGCTTTTAGGTTTTTATGTTTAAAGGTCTGACAATTTAAATGTCTGATGTATTTTTTAATTAAAATGAGGCTTATTATTTTGTTTGTGCCACGGAATTCAATCATCTTAAGAATAGACTGTAACGTATAGCAAAGATAAAGCTTATAATTTTTTTTGTATTTTTTTTCATTTTAATTTTTTCGTGCAAATGGATACAAAAAATTGTAAATTTTAGTGAATTATCATAAAGTATGCTTACAAAAAGACTCTATGAATGTTTGACTTTTCTGCAGTGCATATATTTTGAATTGTATTGCTAAAGTCGATTGCAAAGCAAAAGCAATTTGATTCAACATTTCCATATCAGCAAGAGAGATACATTGCATACTGAAAGCTGGAATACAAATAACTGTCCTCTTATTCCATGTTAATGACTTTATAGTTCGTGCATATTTACTTTGTTATTTTCTGTCATATTGATTGTTCCTACAACACATCAGAAAACCTTGTAAAAACTTTGAAATGAAAATACTGTAAAATGTCATAAAACATATAACATCAAAAGCGTTATAAATACTTTAAAATCAAAAATAGAAGTAATATCCTTTTATGAAGATGATTAGAAAGAGTGATTTCAATTTATATTAGCACATCAGCGTGAGACAAACGATATTTAACCAAAGCTCGAATAAAAAAAATAATTTAATATTATTCTATTCTGTGTCAATGACATGATGAAAAGAGTTTAAGCAAAGACTTTGGACGGAGCGACTAATAAACAAAAATAGCAGTTTATCTTCCTTAACCAACACATCATCACAAAATTACCTTGTTTTCTTAGATGAGAGCGATTCTTTTTTGGTGAGCAATCTGTTGTTGTTTGTCTTTGTAACTGCGTTTGATTGATATACAATAACAGAATTACATACGGGTTATTTATAGAAGATATTTTTTACGGCATTGTAGAGGGACACTTAAATTTTTTCAAAGTGTATAAATGACTTACTAGATGGTGAATAAGTTACATATATGATTACATTTATGCATCATAAACGCGAATGACAGTTAAGTGTATCTTGTCTTTAAAACATTTTAATTTTTAAAGGCTTAAACTTAGAGATTTGAAAATAAAACGTTCTTAGAACTTAGCCATCATCTGTATTCTTTGAGTTAATAACAAGCAAATTATTTTGTGCTACGGAATTTGAATAATCTAAAGAATAGATTGTTATGTAAAGCAAAGATACGCTTATGATTTTGTTGTTGACTATATATTTTATAACAATGATTTTTACGAAATTTATCAATAGCTACAAAAGTTGTATATATCGCATGCATTATAACAAAATGCTGGCTTAATACTATATGGCTCTTTAAGCATTTGACATTTTTTGCTCATATATAGGTATAGGAAGATTGATAATTGTGGGAGGGGCTCATATTCAAATATGCACGTTATAATCCTTAGAGAGCCATCGACTTCAATGGAAATTAATACTTTTTACTATTTATACATGCATATTAGCCCTTCTCTCAAACACATTATAGGGATATACAGTAGGTCCACTTCGTGTGTAATTGGCTGCTGTTTATTTAATTAGATTATTAGCTGCCGTTAGCTATTTTATCATTTCTATTGGTCAAAAAAAGCAATTGACTGACTTTGACTATGTTAATCGCATGGGTAATTTGGTAAAAAGGTATGCGTGGCACGAAAAAATTCAATGGAGTGGCCCTAATGTATATTCATTACACTGTATCTCAATTATCGACTTTCTACACCCATACGGTCATACTTTTTTTGAAGTCAAATGCAAATGATGAAGTCTTGTTATGAGCAGATAGTAAAAAACTCATTTCTCAACTTTGCTCCTTTGTTATACCTGATAGAGTTTGTGGCAAGTATCTGACGTAATATTCTGTTTCTAAATTTTTAAAAAATCGAAGGACGCTTGTAAAAAGCTAATTGTTGTCAGTGACTTTTAAATGAAGTCAAAATACAATTACAAGAAAACAACTTTTTCTTAAATAAACACTCAAATTTTGCGTTCGTATGAATGTTGTCGGAATTGTCATCAGGAAAAGGATTTTTTATAAAAATATTCGTGTGTTTATGTTTATTATTTAAATTTCATTGGCTACTTAAAAATTTACAACATCATTTCAGTCTATCATTGTTTGTAACAATTTTACTATTTACATAAATGTTATAAAATTAACAAAACAAACAAATGAAAATTGTCTATCTAAAAATCAAACAATACTTTTACTTTACAAAATGAAGTAAAATGAAGGTACGTTTCCATGAAATGAAAGTTCCAAAATGCACATAAATTATTCATTTACTGTAAAGTAAATAAAAAATTATAATCTTTTAACTAGAGGTGGAATTTTACGAAGTAAAATATAAGTGGCTTGCGTACCTACAGCGTACCTAGTACAATTTGCGCAAACAAAAGAAAATCATGGCTATATTACTCATAAATTAGATGTCGATAACAGGTATGCATCAGGCTTGGACTGCTCTACTAGCAATTGCATGCGCTATAGCATATGAGCCCATTGTAAGGCCCCTTACTGAGAAATAAAATTAAAGCAGGCAAACGGGCATTGCACAAACTAACATTTAAAAGTACTTTTGAGAGGTGTCGAAGTCATTGGAAATGGATTAACTGTTCTTTTTACAACACTGAATTATTTTGCAAAGTTAAAAACAGCTTAGGGTAGCTTAATTCTGCAGAAATTGTTGTTTATGACAATATATTATCACAAAATATTTTGGGTATACTTTTTATGGTCCCCTCTAATAGTAAAAGGCTAAAGGGCCTTAAATTGAAGCAAGTCAGAGCCCAGTACACCACTGCAAACGAATGCTTTCTTAAGAGACAATGGTTGGCCAAGCTTAAGTACTAGGCCTTTCCGTTTGCAAACTACGTTGTTAGTGTTCAATCTTAAGTATTCAGTAAGTTTACAGTTCTCACTTTTTAAGGCTTCACTAAAATATTTTGTGCCTTGATTACTAATTTTGTAAGCAGAAAAGTACACTTCCGTAAGTTTACAATTTTCATTTTCAAAGCTTCAATAAGAAATTCAGCGCCTTCATCACCTTTATTGTTGTCAATAAAGATTCAATTGAGTAAGTTTACAATTCTCACTTTTCAATGCTTCACTAAGATATTTTGCACCTTCATCACCTATATTGTTATATTCAAGAGACAATTCAGTAAGTTTACAATTCTCACTTTTCAAAGCTTCACTAAGATATTTGCACCTTTATCACCTATTTTGTTAGTTTCAAGATCTAATTTAGTAAGTTTACAATTCTCACTTTTCAAAGCTTCACTAAGATATTTAGCGCCTTCATCACCTATCTTGTTGTTATCAAGATACAATAGAGTAAGTTTACAATTCTCACTTTTCAATGCTTCACTAAGATATTTTGCACCTTCATAACCTATATTGTTATAATAAAGAGGCAATTTAGTAAGTTTACAATTCTCACTTTTCAAAGCTTCACTAAGATATTTAGCACCTTCATCCTTCTATACTGTTAGAACTAAGACCCAATTCAGTAAGTTTACAATTCTCACTTTTCAAAGCTTCACTAAGATATTTTGCACCTTCATCACCTATTTTGTTGTTTGAAAGTTTTAAGTTAGTAAGTTTACAATTCTCACTTTTCAAAGCTTCACTAAGATATTTAGCGCCTTCATCACCTATCTTGTTGTCATGAAGATCCAATTCAGTAAATTTACAATTCTCGCTTTTCAATGCTTCACTAAGATATTTAGCACCTTCATCACCAACATCGTTTTTATAAATATCCAATTGAGTAAGTTTACAATTCTCACTTTTCAAAGCTTCACTAAGATATTTAGCACCTTCATCACCTATTTCGTTAGTTTCAAGATCTAATTTAGTAAGTTTACAATTCTCACTTTTTAAAGCTTCACTAAGATATTTAGCGCCTTCATCACCTATCTTGTTGTTTTCAAGAATTAATAGAGTAAGTTTACAATTCTCACTTTTCAATGCTTCGCTAAGATATTTAGCACCTTGATCACCTATATTGCTCTCCATAATAAGCAATTCAGTAAGTATACAATTCTCATTTTTCAAAGCTTCACTAAGATATTTAGCGCATTCATAACCTAAATCGTGGTCTTTAATACCTAAATCCGCAATTTTACAATTCTCAAATTTCAATGCTTCACTAAGATATTTAGCAGCTTCATTTTCTAGATTAATCAAGTTCCTAGATGCAGTGAATGTAAAGTTACCACATTTTAAAGTTTCACTGAGATATTTCAAAAAATAACGACTAAAATCACATAAATCAAAACGCAAAGAGAGTAATTTGTCGCCTGTCCAGTTTAATAAAAACTTTTTCATTGCAAGGCAGACATGATTATCAATAAACTCACACGATTGGAACACAACCTCATTTATGTGTTTGCATTCAGAAAGAAATTCGAAAAATGCTTTCGAATCAACAGGAGTAAAAGAAACATCTTCAATCTTCATTTCTCGAGAATAGTTCTTATTTAGTTGTGTACATGCTGACCTGATGACATCTTTGTCTTGCAACTCGTATAAGCACTTTACTCCCAGAAAACCAATTGCTTTATTGCCGTCATTGGAAAATAAATGTGAGATCCAAAATGTAAACCTGCAAATGTTAAATACAAAAGTTTTTTATAAACCAATCGTTCATCAAAGACTTAATACTTGCGTACGTATTGTGGCATAATAAGCAATTAGCTAGCTAATGCAGATTATTCTCTCTGTGGTCGAGCACAGCTAGAGAGGGTACATCTTATTTGAATCTTTCGGTAAGTAAAAAACTGCACACTGTTTTAAAGTCGATGAAGTAGACTTAATTACAGTCATTAGCTTAATAGTAGAAAGTAAAAATTCCTCTATTTGTTTCTAAAACCAAGTCGATCAAACTTAAATCAAGATATATTTACTAATTAAAGATTATTCGGTTTTTAACTCTTTCGTTTTTTTCCACCTGGAAAAAATTTGCGTCGTGTTTTTGTTTATTTTATAGCTAGTGCAATGCGTTTATCCGTTTCAACTAAAAATCTTGTCAAATCAGGAGAAACGTAGAATGAAGAAAGCATTTAAATAGTTTTAATGATATATTGTACATGTAATGTTTTGATGTCTTGTGCGTCATAGTGCATGTTGCACCAGTATTAACTGAGAAACTTGTGCGACAAAACACATCGTTTCTTATCCACTATTTTAACCTTAAAAACAACTTAATCTATATATTTCACATATTACATAAATTCAAACATACTGCTTTCACAATAAATCATCGCTTCTCTTAATTTGATTTGTTTCAATAAACGTGACAAGTCAATTTCGCCAATTCTTTAAGCATGCTGGTATTTTATTTTTTTACATCAGCAAAAAAATCCTAAAGTTTAGCATGTTCCGAATGTTGGATTTCTTAGGACTTTTCATACAATGGCAGATCTAGGATTTTAAATACAGTAGGCAAATTTCAAGACGTCAGAAATATGACGTCATAAAATAGACACCATAACATATGAATTTGATAAAGTAAGACACATTATTTATGCAGGTTTACACTGTCCTGCTGACCTTAGCAACTTATCTCAATATATGTAAAAACATACTGGAATAATAAACACCTGATATCCAATTCTTCCATTTACAAATAAAATATACAGTAAGTCGATATGGATAGCCGATAATATGAATAACTAATTGGAAAGGTTTAAACAACAATCCATTTGCTACAACCGATTAACCCAAATCTTATCATTTGATGAAAACAAACAAGAACGAAGTCATGAACTATACTTTAATGGTTACATAAGTTAAGCAAGCAAAATCAATCCTATAAAGTGAAATATCAAACATTACAACAAAATGGTTTTCGAAACTATGTACACAAATAAGAAAAGCAATTTAGCCAGTCAAGTGATTATTTGATATAGATTGCTAACAATCAAATAATTCTATTTTACAGACTCCTTGCTTAACTGCTAAACCTCGTGAAATGAACGCATTTGTCTAAATCATCATATTACAAATTTAGGTTCTAGCCTGTAATTGCATCATTAATACAAAATATTTATGATTGCATAACATTAATAAATTATGGTATAATATTACATATATTTACTTCAATGTAAGAGCCTTGTCCTGCTCGTCAAGATCGTTATTTACCACATACCTATTACATACCCATAATTCGGCTAAAAGCGTTGTATGGCTTAATTAATACACATCAGCTGTTATACATTATGCACCCCACACTATAAATTAAGTAGGAAGCCTTAGCCTTTATACTTTTTTTAGAATGTGGCGTAAATGATAACAGCGTCAGCTTCAGAGTGCAAAGTTAGTAAAAAGGCAGAAACACTGTTTTTAAACAGACAGACCTCTTTTGAAACCCAGCGACATTTTCAAAACTGAAACAACTCTCTGCAGAAGAGCATGAAGCTATGCCTTATATAATTACATGCCAGCTTTATATAAAACAGCTGCGATTTCTTATAACAATCCAACAACCAAACTGTGCATATGTAGTAGACGTAGTTACTGTTCCTGCACTTCCTGTCCAGCAGGACTAAAAACTGTGTAAACAAATTTCATCGAGGACAATAACCTAAACTACACTTGAAAGAAAAATAAAGACCCTACCGTTGTTCAACATCTTCTATTGTTTTAGTATCTCTGATGCTGCCAGATCTCTTCTTGTCTCCAAATAAACCAGCAACAAACTCTATTACCAAATGCCATTTAGGATCAGACACATTATTATCCAAAAACTTTCCGATGTTTTGCCAATCATCAACAATACACCATGCAGCGAAGAACTCTTGAAGAGTCAAATGAATAAAACAATAAAGATTGCGTCGTCTATCTGGTAATTGATGAAAGAAACCGCAATTTGCCCGATGTGGAAAATTCGAGAGACTTGGTTCTTCAAAAATCAAACTCTCTTTCGCAATGCCGTCTTTTGCAAGGCTTTTCATTATTTTCAGGTCATTGTCAAGTTCTTCCGGTAAATCTTTGAGAAGATAATTCTTTGGTGATGATATACTTTTAAAATCTGGATGGTGCTTCCGAAGTAAGATTTTAACTGCTCTTTGTACAATTCAGTTGTAGTTTTGGAATATCTTTTGCGTCGTTTCTAAAGCATTCTTTCAGGGTCAGACAGACAATGTAAGCGTTGACGGGGATATAGCACAAGCTACGAAGTTCGATAGAATTATCAATGCAGTTCAAGATCAGCTCGGTAGATTCCTTATCGTTACCACAAAACTTGTGAACATATTCTTTAATTTGATCTTCAAAAAACCCCAAGATCTCCACTGTCCTCTTAAATTTCAAAAGTTTAAATGCATATTCAGCGGTTGGTCGTGATGTTATTAGAACAGTGGCACCTGGCAACAGTTTACCTTTAATCAACATACTTAACACTGTAAATGCTGGCATTTTTCTTTAGCAAACACTGGGCCTTTAGTTTTAAGATTTTTTCATCCAATGGAAGCTCATCAAGACCGTCAATGATAAGAACGGTTTTTCTGGATTTGACATTATCAATTCGTAATCTGGATATGGCAATCCCTCATCACACAACATTTCTTGAAGAGTAATGTCAACATTTTTAATCGCACGACATCGGATCAAATGAACGTGCTTATCTCGCCAATAATTATCTGTATTGTTTTTCCATTCATGCATAAGTTTTTTTGTTAACATTGTTTTACCAATTCCTGGCCTTCCAATGACTAAAATAGAACGTGGATACGATGTTTCTTTCTCACCCTGGATTGGCTTAAAAATTTCGGTCACCATTTTCAATTGTCTAGCATCATGTCTAATTTCTAGATGACATTGAAAGATTTCATGTCTTTTATATTTTTTGGGATAAGCATTCTTTAATTCTCTTTCTGCTTGCATAATGACATTGACATAAATCTCCTCAAACTTTAATGGACGGTTATGATCATCCCCAAAGTCCTCATTTGTTTGAACGTCTTCGTTGCTGTCAAAATTTTCTTTTTTTCCAAAATGTTTGAAATCTTTCACGTTTTCGTAACAAATAAACTTCACAAAATTCTCTTGATGTTGTAAATAACCTGTACTTCCAGGCTACAATCGTCAAATAAGACAGCTCTAAGATTGTCAGTATTATAAAATGACATCAACAGACGCAACAACTGAATTAACGTCTTACTTTTATCAGCGTTGAGATTTTGACAAGCAAGTAATATGACGTCGTATGAGGTGGGTATAGTGTGATTTAATGAGGTTGTTTCTTTCAATTTAGGATGCCATGAACAAGAGTAATCGATAGGAAACTTGGCTGAAAAAGTAATCCAACGAATACGGATAATATAATGAGGCGAACAACCAAATGGACGATGTAAATGTAAAATGTAGAAAATCGAAATGTAACGCTTTTAGATTTATAATTGTCTTCACCATGATAACCAACATGTAGAGGTTTACTTTCCCCATCATTGTTTGCTGGATCGGATTGACCATAATGCTCGACTCGACGTTTTACATAATATCCATAAACCATACTCCAAATTAAGACAATACCAATATTTAAGCACACCACAAGAAAAATTACATACTTGAAATTTAGCCCATCTTTGTATTGTCTGAAACATCTTGATTCAATGGTTTTGATGAGAGAATTGTCATTGTTTTTTGACAATTTCTCATTATAACAATTAAAAGAGAGATCATTATATAAATTTAATGAAATACCAGAGACGATGAAGCCAAATATAACAAAGATAATCAATATTATTCTTCCAAACCAGTTAAAACTTTTCCATGGTATATATTCAAGACACTTCTCGATCATTTTGTATCCCTTAAATCAATGAATTGAACATGAATTAACACAAGTCTAAAAATCATTATATATTCAGCACTTAGCGAATCAACAAAAGCATTTTTGCTGAACGGTTGAAAGGAAAGAAATATTTAAATATCCTCTTCTCATAAGTGAATGATGCGATAAAAAGGAAAATGAACAATTTAAGAACTTAAATTTGTTAAGCGAATACGTTAAATAAGACCAAAACAAATTTTGAAAATTTCGTCAAGAGAAAAAGAAAACATAAGGTGGCCCATAAGGGTCATAGAAACGTAATAGTAAAAATTACAACAACAAAACAAAAGTTCACACCACAAACCTAACAATCACGATGCCATTTTGAAATTTGAGTGCAAAATATTAAAATATGGTAGTTTCTTCTGTGTGCTCTTAACACTTATTGTCTTAATTGTTACAAGTTTTTTTTCGATTTTCGAAAAATTCATAAAGATACACGAAATAAAACACCAAGCGATGTTTTCCACTTCTCCCAAGATCATAAATAAGTTTAATGATTTTAAAAAACAAGATCTAAAAAACTAATTTAGGCTCGTTGAGCCAAAACTGCCTTTTCTGTTATTAACACAGCGTTTCTGCATGTCTCGTTTTTCATTCGTTCTATCTAATGCATTATTTAAACATATATTTATTCGTTGTTACAAACTCTGAACTGCTGGTTAGTCATAGTGAATGACAATTGAGTAGTTCTTAAAAAAAGGAACTTCCCTTCAAGTTTTCTGGTTCATACAGAACAAAACTTTGCTCCAAGCCTTACCAAATTTATTCACGACAATGTCGACTAGAAATGGTTTTTGAACCGTCTGCCATTCATTGCACTGTAGCTTAAACAATGCTTTTCTTTAAAGTTAGCAATGTGGTCAAGCAGTTTAAAGATTTTGCAAGGCTCAGGTTTAGAATGTGAAAAACATTGACATTTATTGTACAACCGGATCTGCCAAGCATAAAGCTAACGTTTTTGTCTAAAGCTACAGCCATACACAATATACGTAGTGGAAAAGTTGATCTTCACGTCATAACATAACCAACAACTTTGTTTGGACTCACCAGTAAACAGATAGCTAATGCCAGAGTATTTTAGTAAATAATGATCGATAAATTAAATAATGCTTACTATTTATACTGAGTGTCTGTTGTCTTGTGTTTTACTAAGATAGCCATATGTGCACATGATTTGGTGTTTGACATAGTAAATCTAAAAGTTGCAAAAACGCCTGCAGATATTAAACGACAGATGAAAATCAGTATTAAAAGTTTTGGCACCATATCCAAAAATTTACACCATTGAGTAATTCGTATTATCATAGAATTCTTCTAGCTTACTACAGTATTCTTTAAATGTTTACATGTAAATTGAAATGTTTTAATAAAGTCGATTGCAAATCAAAGCAATTTTTCTACATTGGCAAAAGAACAAAAGCATTTTTAATTAACGCTTGAGTGGAAAGAATTTTTAAATGTCCCTTTTCTTACGTGAATGGCATGATAAAATGTGAAAATCAACATTTTAATGGCCTTAATTTATTAAGCAAGCCCGTTATTTAAGACAAAAATAAATTTTCGCAAATTTTGTCGCGAGAACCAAGAAAAAAATAATGTGGTTTATGTCATAGACACATAATACTAATAAATTTACAACAACAAAACTAAACTTTACACCACAAACCTAACAATCACGATGCTATTATGCAATTCTCGCTATAAATACAGAATTCACAAACCACATAAATTTTCTAAACCACTCACCGTGTACTCAAACTTGTACATTCCTCATTTTGCTTAAGTACTTAAAGTATTAAAAACCTTTCGGTTCATCATTTACCGCAAGAAGGGCATCTTGCCGTCAAAACCTGAACTGCTAACTGCGACGTAAGCAGCAAAGCCATGATCACGTGATTTTTTGCGGTTTACCGTTTACCGTTAACGCCAAACAAAAACTTTCGAATGTCTGTCTAAAAGTTTTTTTTTCATTTTCAAAAAATTCATAAAGATAAACGAAATAAAACAAAAAGCGATGTTTGAAAACTCCCCTTCGAGCAAGTGGATTGGATATTAAAAGTTTAAACAGTTAAAAGGCAAGAGGCGACCCAAAAATCAGATGTGACAAAAGAAACGTGTTGAACCGTCACGAAGAAGTCACAGTAAATGTGAGCATTATGAAATTTGATGACCTGGAGATGAAATATTTTTTCATTCAGCATTAGCCAAATGAGAAGCACATTAAAAAGAAAACATAAAAACTTTGGAGGATTATAAGCTACTGTATCCAGCTTACACGGCGTTTACCTGATACTGTCACATTGACAGACTTGACAGTACTCAATTTTCTTGATGAGTTTAGCACAAATCATTTGCACGATCTGCAGGGACGCCGGAACAAGGCTAATTGGGGGGGGTCTATATATTCATTTATGTGCGTTTTACTATTAGTTTCTTATGAAATCAATTGTGATTAGGGATTATAACGTATGAATATATGAATATCTGCTTCCTACCTTCATGTTCCGGCGTTGCTTATATGAGTACAAAAAAAGGGTATAAAAATCCTCTTATAACGTTTTAGCTTGCTTTGAAAAGGTTTAACAGTTGCCAACCAAAGTTAAGCAAGATCGAGCAAGGGAAAACCTGTTACGTTTTCAACTGAAGTGCCTAGTACATCTATCGTTTCCTCTAGCCAAGTAGAACCTGCAGGGACGCCGGAACAAGGCTAACTGGGGGGGGGGGCTATATATTCATTTATGTGCGTTTTACTACTAGTTTCTTATGAAATCAATTGTGACTAGGGTTTATAACGTATGAATATATGAATATCTGCTTCCTAACTTCATGTTCCGGCGTCGCTTATATGAGTACAAAAAAAGGGTATAAAAATCCTCTTACAACGTTTTAGCTTGCTTTGAAAAGGTTTAACAGTTGCCAACCAAAGTTAAGCAAGATCGAGCAAGGGAAAACCTGTTACGTTTTCAACTGAAGTGCCTGGTACATCTATCATTTCCTCTAGCCAAGTAGAACCAAGAGAAAAAACTCTGATCTGCCTTCCACACCATATTTGCAGTGTTAATCAAAAAAATTAAGAAATACACTGGGTTAAGACTGTGACAGGATTTATCAAAGCAAATAGATAAATGCAACATTACCGATTTTAAATGTTATCCGCACAAACCTCTTTAACAGTGCGAAAAGAGCGCTACTTCGCAAAAGATTTCATTCAGGAAAGCTATATAACGTTGCTATCTGTTAAACTCATGGATGATGTGGGTTTGTCAGCTAGAGCCGTTACTTGAATTGGCTCCAAGAAAGAATTTTTTACTTGTATTTTATAAAAGAAGCTATATGAGTCATTTTCTTGCTTGACAGGTTGAAAGATATCTTTTATGTAGTGAATGAAAACTATCAGAGAACGAAGAGTAAATATTACTTGAAAAATCATTGCACTTTCCCTTGCAAATAAGTTCAAATAAGTATCTGGGACCGTCTTTTTCTTTTGTATAGCTTCTAACTAATTTGATATTAACTTTATTATAGCTTAATTACACACTTTTTGCAAGGTTTCGATGTCGAAAACGATATATCAATATTGTGACATCTGTACAACATAAGAACAATACAAGAATAAGAATAGCTTTAAAAGAAATACTTCTCAATAACTTTTTCTTAGTCATTGCCTCATTGACTAAGCAACTCGGGCGGAAAGTAAAATTTGTTTCTTTAATTGTTCCGGCCACTCATCACACAATAGTCTAAAACCAGTATAAGAGTTTGTAAGCATTTCATTTAACGGTAGTTATCTCACCTGTTTTTAGGTTGAGATGACCATGACGAACAACATGGCATATGTGCCATTTGCTCAATCTGGGACGAAAGTCCTGAAATTGAGACCCACCCCCCTGAAACGGCAGTGTCGACATAGTTCTTCTTTCTAGAAAAAATAGCAATAACAATTCTATAATGTTAAGCGAGTTTAGAAGGTTCCCTTTAGGTGGTCATGGGAGGAAAAATTTACAAAAGTTTAATGGAAGCGAGAATGGCGAGATACTTTGGGAGTGAGAATAAAATTGTTTAAGAAACGCAAAGTTGTGATTATTCTTAGTGTTCCGAAGACATTGGGACAGAGGTCAATTTTCGGAATACGTGGCACCTACCGACGAAGGATTGTTATTGTGATATATTGTGAAAATTTCGTACTAGATATTACGCGCCCCATACAAACATGGCAAACGACGAAGCAAAACTCAATATAAAATTAACTCAACTGAAGTTATCTGCTCAAAGAACAGCTAAAATATTAGATTCAGAAAAGCGAGAAACTATCGAGCGACAACTAAACGCACTCAAAACAACTATTAACGAAGCTACAATAATAAAAAGCTGTGGAAGCAGGAAAATCGAAAAGACGACGACCGGAAAACGAAACAAAAATAAGTGAAGCCGAAGACGAAATAAACAAGCTACAACACTGACTGAACAATAGAAAATTTTAAAATTTAAAGTCCGTGGACTCAAAATAAGTGACGAAGGTATGTCGGTGAGATTACCAAAATAAATATTACGAAATTTGAGGGGAATACATGGATTGGCCCAGATTTTGGGGCAATTTACGGAGACGGTGGAGAAATCAAATATAGCTGCCATCAACAAATTCACATATCTGTGTGGATTCCTTGGAACCAAAGTTAAGCGACGGGTAGAATCTTTACCGTTTACCACAGAAAGATACAATAGAGCGAAGTCAATGTTAAAAGATCAGTATGAGAAGAATTCGGAAATAATAAAAGCTTACATAAAAGAGATCATGGACTTGCCTCACATCTCGGGAGCAAACACAAGAAAGATTGCAGAATTTATTGAAAACTTAAATCTCAGTGTCCAAGCTTTGGAAACGCTGGGTGAACTGAAAGATGTCCAAGGAAATGTTTCCATGACTCTAGACAAACGTCTAGCCATACGTAAGTTTGGACTTTCC